TCTTTCCCTCCTCCCTCCCTCCTCTCTCCCTCCCTCCCTCCCTCCCTTTCCCTCCTCCCTCCCTCCTTCCCTCCTTCCGCCTTCCCGCTTCTGCCTTCTTCCCGCCTTCCTGCCTTCTTCCTGCCTTCTGTCTTCCTTCCTGCCTGCCCTGCCTGCCTGCCTGCCTGCCTGCTTTGCCTTCCTGCCTTCCTGCCTTCCTGCCTTCTGCTTCTCCTTTTTTGATAGCATCAGAACCGTTATGATGGGCAGGTGGCAGTATTTGGCTCAGACCTACAAGAGAAACTAGGCAAGCAGAAGTACTTTCTGGTGAGTAGACACCCACTACCTTCACCTTCCTTACTAGCTTCTGACCCCTCTTAGATTTTCTTTTGTCTCTAGAAGTTGGGTCTTCTGATCTTTTGTGGCTTGATCACATTCACTTTTTCACTTTCTGTGAATTGAAGGAAAACATGATATATTCTTTGTTTTGGGTCTCAAGTGCTTCCATTTTTAAGATGATGATAGATTTTTGTGATTTGGGGGTTTAAATATGTGGCATAGATGACTTTCTTTCATCTTTGTACTCTACGGGAAGTACAGAGCGGTAAATGGCTTCCTGCTATCTGCAGTCACCTTGACCAGACTCTCTTCCCATCTTCAGGTGGGTGCAGGTGCCATTGGCTGTGAGTTGCTCAAGAACTTGCCATGATTGGACTAGGCTGTGGGGAGGGTGGGAATATTACAGTGACAGACATGGATACCATTGAAAAGTCCAATCTGAACCGACAGTTTCTCTTCGGCCCTGGGATGTCACAGTGAGTGAATGGGGTTTATGTTTCTGTCATCTCTCTCTCTCTCTTCTCTCTCTTCTCTCTCTCTCTTCTATCCTAGTGGCTTAGAAACCTCTCTCTGTGTGTCTCATACCCTCATACCTGTGTCCAAATTTAATTGTCTGCAGTCAGTCTTCACCTCAGCAACATTTATCAAGCATTAGGTCATTTCATGATAGGTTTTCATAATTTCTCCACTCCTGCGTGTTGGTTTTGGGCCATTTTGAATACGGTACTGTAAATTGGGGTTATGGAAGGCCGTTGTGAAAGTCAGTAATTTTACTGCCTGCTCAGAGTCTTTAACTTTACAGTCCACATAGTAGGTTTAGACATTGAAATATATGTTAAAAAGAAGTTCCTGCCTTTTCTAATAGGAAAATTAATAGTAAAATACTCTTGGAATCCACAAGATTATAATAGTCATTTTAAGACACTAAGACCATTATTTGACTTTTTTACTCTTATTTTATCAAAGAATGGAACTTCTAATCTTCTACAGGAAATCTCCTTTAATTCAATGAAACACTTTTCCAATGACCACTGTATCGTGAGACAGAATATGTACTAGTTGTAAATATCCATTCAAATGGAAGTTGATTGAATATGGATTCCAGATTTACTTAAAACCAAACTATAAAACACTTTGACTTGTTAAGTTGCTATATAGTTTTAAACTCCGCAGTTTGCTGATAGGCTGTCAAACTATTTTTCTGTGCTGCCTTTCCTTCAAACAAAATACCAGGTTGAATGCATTAGAAATGAGAATCTAGCTGTCATTAAGAAGTACATAAAGATATTTGACCAAAAGGTAAATGGAGTTAGCTCCTGTTACTGAAGTTTGCATTGGAAAATATTTTTATGATGATTCAGATTATGTGTAGGATTATTAAGGATTTTAAAATGGTCTAATTTTTTCTACTTTCTAGTTAAATATGTGATATGAAAATGTATAGAAAAGTTTCTTGGTTTGATAACTTAAAAAAACAAATACAGTCACAGAGAATATCATTAACACGTGAAAAGGTAGGGTAGGACGTGGTAAGAAAACAAAGGTGTCTTTGGAAGGTTTACAGTGTAAACAAGGTATCTTCATGAGAAAGATGACATTTTTGGGGCTGGCGCTGTGGTACAGTGTGTTAACACCTGGCCTGAAGTGCAGCATCCCATATGGTTGCCAGTTCAAGACCAGGCTCTGTTCCACTTCCGATCCAGCTCTCTGCTGTGGCCTGGGAAAGCAATAGAAGATGGCCCAAGTCCTTGGGCCCTGCACCCACCAGGGAGGCGGAGGAAGCTCCTGGTTCCTGGCTTGGATCAGCACAGCTCCAGTCCTTGCGGCCAATTGGGGAGTGAACCAGCGGATGGAAGACACCTTCTCTCTCTCTCTCTCCCTCTCCCTCTCCCTCTCCCTCTCCCTCTCCTCTCCTCTCCCTCTCCTCTCCCTCTCTCTCCTCTCTTTCTATCTCTCGTGTAACTCTGACTTTCAAATAAATAAAAAAATCTTTAAAAAGTGAAATTTTTTCAGATACTCGAAGGATGTAGATTAGAATGTCTAGCTAATAGGTGCCAACAGATAAAGGTTAAAACCTGAGCAAAACTGTACTTTATGGTGTGCAATGATAGAGACAGCTCATTTTCTCTAAGGAAAAATGTATTACCAGTGGAGGGTTTTTTTTTTTAAAGATTTAGTTTTGTTTATTTGAAAGAGTTTGAGAGAAGAGGGTCCTTCATCCACTGGTTCACTCCACAAATGGCTGCAGTGGCCAGTGCTGAGTGATCTGAACCCAGGGGCCAGGAGCTACTCCGGGTCTGCAGGGGCCGAGAGACTTGCGTCATCCTTCTCTGCTTTCCTGTGCCATGGCAGAGCTGTATAGGAAATGGAGCAGCCAGGACTTGAACCAGCACCATTTGGGATGCTGGCACTGCAGGCCACAGTTTTAAAAACACTTCACCACAGTGTTGCATCACCAGTGTGGGTTTTAAATAAGAAAAGGTCTTGGTTTGGCTTTGGCTTTGAAAGATCCTGTGTGTCTTTGTTTTTATTTAGGTGATGTCATTCTCTATTCTGGGTCTCATTAAATGAAAAAAAAAAAGTGGAATTAGTTGGTAAAATAATGTAAAACTAAGGAATTTTTTTCTATTGTGGCATATATTTTGGGCCCTCTTGGTCTCATTCACATTTGTAACATGGCATTGTCACAGAACATCAGGTGATGTTCTTGAATTGGAGTCAAGGCTTTTTTCACTTACTCAGTTGTTAGGTTAGCTGTTTAAAGGTTGTGTGTGAATGTATGACAAACAGCTTTCTCCCTCCTTCCCATCAGAAGTTAAAGTCTGTGTAGCTGCGGCATCTGTGCGTCAGATAAATCCATACGTCAGAGTAGTAATAAGCCACCAGAATCGTGTAGGCCCTGACACTGAGTGTATCTAAACGACGACTTCTATGAAAACCTGGATGGTGTAGCCAATGCCTGGAACAATGTAGATGCCGTGAGTTTCTAGGCACATGAGGATAGGGCACAGCCATCATTGTGCAGATTAGGGGTGGGGGGGTACCTGTCCTAATACTCCTCTCCCGTTCTCATGAAAACATCCTCTTTACCTCCGAAGGCCTGTACATGGGACGCCGCTGCGTGTACTACCGAAACCATTGTTGGAGTCAGGGACATGGGCACCAAGGGCAGTGTGCAAGTGGTTATTCCCTTCCTGACGGAATCTTACAGCTCTAGCCGGACCCACTGAGAAGTCCATCCCCATCTGCACACTGAAGAACTTCCCCAATGCCATTGAACACACTCTGCAGGTGACTAGCCTGGGGACTTTGGGAGGTAAAAGAGACAGGTTCAGACATAGCCTCTGGATTTTGAAGCCCTTGACATTCCAGAACTGTAAGGTCAGTGCAGCAAATCTTTCGGCTAATCAGTTTTCATGTGTACCAATAACTTCATTTTTAAAACTTTTTTTAACTTTAAAAAATTCTGTTAAAGACTACAGTTTCAGTAAACGTCTGAAAAGTGAGAATGTGAAACACTAATGTGTTTCTGAGCAAAATTGACTTCATTGTTAACTTTGTTATTTCAAGTTAACAAAGTTATTACAGAAAAATTTGTGTTAAAGTATATATTTATATTTCTATAACTGCTGCTCAAAATGTTTCAACAGTTAGTTTATCAGAATAGTTTCTATTGACATAATGGCCATACATATAGAACAGGGCATATTTAGTTGAAGAAAATAAATACCTGAGTAACTGATACACATAATCTAATGCTAATCTGCAACCCAAGAACCACACCATGTGTGTTTTAGAGTGTTCTTACTGTATATTTGAGGACTTTGTTTAGGAGGAATTATTTGTGGAAAAAAAAAGTTGCCTTCCCAACTTAGCACTTTCAGCATGAGTGGATTATACTTATTTATGTAATGACTGTCAGTTTTTGGCTCTCATGTGTATTTATATGTTATAACCTCTAGTAGGTCACGTTCTTTTGTGTCCAACATTGCAGGGAAATCTATGAGAAAGGTTTTAAAACATTTTCATTATATGACCTCAGACTTCTGTGAAACTTCCACATGCCTCATTCCTTATCCATAAAACTTCCATGACAATTAGTATCTCATCCTTTCTAAACATTTAACATGCATTTGCTATTTTGAATAAGCTTTAGATATATAGTATTTGGTTGTTTCTTTGTAGCAAGTCCATGGAGCATAGAAATTACTATCTAGAATGATGAGTAGGCAGTAGGAAAGAGCTACAGTCTCCAGTGAATCTCCGGCGAAGAGATCCAGATGACGTTGCAGTGATTGTACTTACTGGTCTTATATAAATATTTCGTATTTAAAGTAAAAATGGCAGTATATGCAGAAGTGCTTGTTTTTTGCCAGTCCCAGGGTCTGTATGAGGATTGTTGTTGTTATATTTAGCTGTGAATTTTCCTTTTTTTTTTTTTTGAGGAAAACACCCGTATTCTAGTAATGTACAGGACGTGACAAGTAACTTTTAAGCCTAAGCACCTGCATTACCACTATATAAGATAAGCCATGAAACAAGTAGCGGTGTGAAGTTGGTAAATTGGGGAGCCACATTTAAAAACTTTCACTGTTGCGCACTCACAGAGCAAAAGTGCTTCTTTCAACTTGCTTGATTCATTGATTAATCTTCGAATACATTTAGAAACCTCGTGTTATTCA